ATTACCATAAATGTCTGTAAGCTTTAGTTTTTAGCTGTCTACCACTCAATAAAATATTTTTCAGCAAACGTAGTACTTGGCAGCCCTACATATACTGTGCCGTTGGTTCAGAAATAATACTGATGAAAAACGTTTCGCTTTTTACACACTATTCATAACGAAATAATTGAGTTAACAGTTTTAATTTTCTTTAAAAGAGGATTAGTAATTCAAAATATTATTAGAATTCTTGCAGTTTAGTTTTGCGTTTATTATCGTAATTAATTTCGAATTTCTCCCCCCCCCTAGTTAAGTACCTCAATTCACATAAGCATTATTGAAACAATATTAACACGTTGAATGCCACGCTAATTTTACATGGCTTGCTCGTCTGGCCACACTGTAAATAACTATAAACTAAATTTGCAAATATTCGACAAATTTTGCTAATTTTTCAAAAGGTTAAGCATAGCATACCAGATAAATGTGGTGAATTATATAAGACTACGAATTGTCTAGAAATAGTGGTAGATAAAAATCTACTGAATTGAATTTATTAAACCTAGAGTCACAATTAATAAACTACCACTTGAAAATATTTATTCACTGTCCGGAGCAAGTTGGCATCTCCTTGTATATAAAAAAAACTATTTTTGTGTGCTCTATATTGCATTCATTTCTTCAAACCATTTTAATAACAATAATATAAAAAAAATTTTACTCGAATTATGTGTTTTTAATAATCTTGGCTTTGCCAGTCACCCCCATGACATTCAACGTGTTAATCTAATTACTGCATTCACTGAGAAAAATTATGATCTGTAAATGCATTTACATACCTGCCAACTTTTAATCCCTTCCAGTATGATTTTTCCCAGTGGTAGCAAAATGGAATTAAATTTTCAATTGTAAGCAAACAAATATGTTGCATTTGAAAAATCTTTAGCCGACAACCATGTTAGCAATGCATATTAATATATATGCCAAATTTTTTAAAGAATACTGGTGATCGAAATCATTTTAAATTTAAGTTTATAAAATAAAAAATAGTATATATTTACTACCACTTTAAATATAAAAATAGCATTTTACGCCAAATGCGTAAAGGTTGGCAGGTATGCATTTAATAGGTGTTGCAGTAAGATATTTTACAATGGTTACAGTGAGAAAACATTTAAAATTCAACAAAGAATTTAATTATTTTCTAAATTGGTAATGTAAAAAATGATTTTTTTTTAAAAAATACAGGTTAGGTATGATTTAAAATAGTGGCAACAATACAATTATAAAAAATATTACGAATTTGCTTTCATGAGCTTTCCTTTTAAACTATGGCTTTTAAGGTTGTAAAATTAACGATAAACTTATAAATCTTCGTCACCACTTTTTACATTTTTTCTAGACTGCGTCAACCCTCATAGAGTTTTTATTATTTAAGTAGCTTGGTAGTTAAAATACTTTAAATAAACGTTTACTTGTACTTTGTTATAATAAATGATACGACTTTATTAAGAATGTGGTAGCTTACCAGTAATTAAATTAAATAAATAATATTTTATCGATTTAACCACCCTATAGGCCATTAAATATAACCAGCTTAAGATTTCGGATTGAAGTTGTACATTTTAATATTATGAAAATATATTGGTGAATATGAATGTTTTGTTTATGTAAAACAGTCAAATCTTTGAGTTACTAATTATTTTTTGTCATCGTCATTATCATTGATCCAGGAGCTCCCTTATCCTCTGGGTTGGGTTCAAAATTACAAGATTACGTAGTTGAACATTAGTAGTCTTCAACCCGAAAATTGGGTCTGCTGTTCAACTAAGTAAAAAACATGGTACTTGATATTCTCTAATTCGGGTATGAGAATTTCGAATCTGAAATTTGTTTTGTTCCTAAAGCTACAGATTTTTTTTAAATGGTAATTTTAGTTTAGTTTATTTGTTTTTAAATGTACGAGTTTATAAAGAATGCATAGATTAATATACATACATATACACTCGTCCGCTTCTTGAAAAATAGCACTTAAGACAAAAAACATATGATCTTAACGAATAATAGAAATGTATTATCAGTTATTGAATAAATAAAAATTTAGTATCATCTAGTTTCTAAAAACCGTGCCCTACCAGAAAAGCAGCGATACATCACTTCAGTAGTCACTTGAATGACTTTTTAAAAAATTTGAGTTTAGATTATATTATTAATTTGTATAAAAACTGTAGCTGGTAGAGAGAGAAACCGATTGCAAATTTGAAATTAGCGAAGCGAGAATATCTCTGATCCATACAAAAACTCTCATGCAACGGGAAAAAAAATTGATCTTCAGCGGCGGGGATCGAACCCAAGAACTCTCGGAAGCCAGCCCAGTGCCCTACCAACCAGGCAATCCCGGACCTAAACAGTATGATTATAACAAGTTGAAAACTTATAGGTCGGGATGGCCTGGTTGGTAGGGCACTGGGCCCAAGTCCAAGAGGTCGTGGGTTCGATCCTCGCCGACCGAAGACTCCTCGTGTAGTAAATGGTGACTGATGCGCGTTAAATCTGTCGAGTTGCAAAGTCCCCCATGTTCCCATATCAAATCATACCTCTGGGGGTACGGATCCAGGAGTTTCCTTGTCTTCTAGATTGATTGAAAATTACAAGGCTACGGAGTTGAACATTAGTAGTCTTAAACCCAAAATTGAGTCAGCTGATCAACGACGGTTATAAAATAAAAAGTTAAAAACTAATTGCCATCCGCTATTGCAACAAATTCTTTTGGGGGAAATAAATTTTTCGGTTGTCTAAGTGGGTAAACGAAAATGGTTTAAAAGGAAGATATTTTTACTTATTTCTGATATCAATTATTTCCTAACAATTTTCATCCCTAATTTTCATAGAGCAATACATGTGCGACCACCGGTTAAATTATCTTTTTCCTTACAAAATAAATATTTTTGATTATTTTTCAGATATTCTGCCTCGCTCTTCAAAAGGATGCGTCTCTTGCTGACCACATATCTATCATACACATTCTATTATTATTATTATAACATAATAATTATTATAACACAATTTAAAGCTAGATTTCAAAATAAAGTTATTTAAATATATGTCTTATCTTATTAACCGTTTTACAATGGGATACCCGCAAGTGACGTAGTGTGGGTATTTCGATCCTGATTGGTTGTTGAAACGTTGCATTTGTTTACGTTAACAATTGTTCTTTCCATTCTATTGCGAGTAAGCCAAGCTTGTCACGTATCAATTCTCTTAAGTGATGCATTCTATATTCTTTCACAATGGTTCTTTCCCGCATATTTAAATTTTTATCACTCTATATGTTTCTTACTTAACACAAAGACATGCACGAAGCCATGTATTACATAAACAAACTAATTATGCATCGAAGTTGCCAGGTACACAAAATAAAATTACATCACGGTTACAAAAAAATACGCAAACAAATAATAAATCTAAGTTAAGTAAGAAACGTAGACGTGATAGGATTATATTTCAGCGAATTCAGTGTGCAATACGGCGCCGTATTTAATTAACATCACGTTAATCAGCAAGCTTATATGATGAGACTAAAGCTCAACTTAAACAGGCCATTTGGCTCATAAACCATCAGCTGGCACTAACGTTTTAAGTCACATCTGTGGGTCTTCCTCTTCTTGAAGTGCAAGCGCCCAATTATTATTTTTTGTGCGAATTTCATTAGGTTGTTTTTAAATTAAAGAAATTCATTCAATGAACTTAACGATCAGTTTCATGCACGATTTGATGCATCCAAAAATTCTATTTAATGTATCCGTCCCTTTGGTAAGCGAAAATATTAAATTACGGTTGTTATTACGACGGTTGTTACTACGGCGAAAATATTAAATTACGGTTACTCACCAAATTTGTTAGAAAAATATACTTTTAATTTTAAGTGTTATTTTAAAAAATGATTGCTTAGAAGAACTACTTATGTTTATTAATGGATCTTAATAAAATCACGAGGAAAATATTTGGATGTGGGAGTTGAATAGAATTCTTTCTTAGTGCGAATTATTTCAAGTTCATCCTTTCAACTTACATAGAAGAAACTGTTTTATGCCAAGGGACAACAAATATTGCGAAACAATCATCAGGGTTCGTGTGCAATAGCGAACAGGGGGCTTAGATCCATAGTTTTAATAATTAAATTATCGGATCTCATCTTAAAGAAATTAAGTAGTACGCNGGAAACAATCATCAGGGTTCGTGTGCAATAGCGAACAGGGGGCTTAGATCCATAGTTTTAATAATTGAATTATCGGATCTCATCTTAAAGAAAATAAGTAGTACGCTTTCATAATAAGTCGTAATGTTCATTTAATTTAAAATTTTAAGACCTATAAAAAATCAAAATCGGTAGCCAAGTTTCATTAAAGGTTACGGAGCATTACAAAAATATTACCAAGGCTCTTTACTCTCATTTATAAAACTTTAAAAAAAAAAAAGTTTTTCGTAGTTATGAATATTTGATCTGGAATACCATGCTCTGAAAAAATAATTTTTAAGTGGCAGCAAAGCTATAAATCGATACATAGTTGTTTTAGGTTATTTATATTAAAGGGAAAATCCAAATAATGTTTGATAATACTTATAGAGAAATTAATAAGAGTTCAAAAGAAGAAAATAAATTGCCACCACTTTTTGACTTTTCTCGATATCATGGCAATCCCGTTACAACATTTATAATTTTTTAACTACTTAAAAAAACTTTTTAAATTGAAGGAATCAGGTAATTTTTTGTACGCTAACAGAAATACATATTTTGTTGATTTAAATTCATAATTCTAAATTTTTTTTCTTTGTTTGCAGATTTCTTTTTTCGTATTTATATTTTATATTTAAGACTTAGTTTAATAAATTAAACTAAAAATTCATTTTTTTTCACCACGATACATTAATGGTTTCAACGAATTAATTAAATTCAGTTCGCTTCAAAAAATTTACCACAATTACTAAACCATCAAATTTTAATTAAATTATCTTACCTCACAGGCATGAGCCGTCAGTTTAGGTATCAGGGCATCTTCGTACACCTGTTGCCTTGTAAAGGTGGGGTGAGGTAGTCGGGCACTTTTTCGAATTTCTTCCCATCTATCTTCTCCGTACACATGGACGACGTATTGGCTAAGGTTCTCGAGTATCAGACCGTACATCCCCTTAAACAAACAGGCGGAACACCCTCGGAAAATATTTATCCAAACGATCACTCTATTCAATCCATTGGATAATTAATCCCTCATTTCGAACGAATACTAAAGTTCTTCGCAAACGATTCAAAATATCAAACGATTATTTGTTATGAGAAAAGTCGTAGATGAAATATCAGTCATGCTGCAAGTTGTAAGCGAGATAAAATAATAATAACAATAATGGATGTATCAGTCCTAACACCGGATGAAGTGTTTTCTTTTTTTCAACTTCCGCGCGTCTTCTAAAATAAATTTACTTCAGCATCAATGTCGCATCATTACAAAAAAAGAACTGCTCTGTGGCTGCCGCATTTCATTTGTGAGTCTATAGAAGCAGCAGCTCAGGTTTTTAATTGGATAACAGTCTCGTGACGTTTTCTCTTCTCCGCCAATTGACATCCGTTCAAAATAGAGATAGAAGATGAAAAAAGAAAGTGGTAATAAGAAAAAAATTACATATTCCTTTTTTTTCTTCTTTCAGTTACTACAAAGAAATAAACCGATTTTCAATAGTTCCATTCAAATAGTGCTTAATATGAAAGCAAAAAGAACTGGAAACAAATTATTTTAATGAAACATGAAATGAAAGATTTGATAATTTTTACATATATATTTTACTGGTGAAACATTATTTAAAGTAAAAGGAGATAATTTATAATGCACGGAACAAAATTTGTTATTGTAGGATATATATGTCTTATGAGAAAATATAGAAATAAACATAAATTTAGAACTGTAAACTGGAAATTTTAATCAGCTGTTATTTTCCTTTTGATTTTTTTTCACTCCACCAATACGTAAAATGTAGCAATTGATTTGCTTGAAATAAAGATGAGAAGGAAACATTAGAAAACAAAAATGCAAAACCCTTCAACACTTTAAAATAAGTGCTTAATTTTTTTTAATTTTTTAAGCTTTAAATAAACTTTCCATCAACAAGCTAGAAAAATTGCAAATTCTTTCAAATTCACGTTTTAGACGAGTTTAAAAAATCATGTTTTCGTGAAAAACTGTCTCCATTTTTTATCGCAATACCTCGCTTTAAATAAAGTGTTAAGTTATTACTTGTTTTTTAGCTTTATTGAGGCTTCACCTATATATATATATATATATATA